GCAATACTAAGTTGTATTTTTTTCTACCCTTTTTTCCAAGTATGATGCAAGTTCATGAAAGACGTAATATAAAATTTTAAGTTCATTGCACACAGTTCCTAAACTCATATTCATAACAATGTCAACTTAATTATTTTATTCCCAGATATTTTACAGGTCATGTCCACAGAAGAAATAGATTTGTGTGTGTGTGTTTATGTATGTGTGTGTGTTCACTTGGTTATTTCAGCAGACATTAGTTGGTCAACTTCCTTCCAAATGTTTTGATCTCTATATAAGTTCCAGACTCCCTTTCCCAATGCTATACAAACTGGCTTAAAATTTTAAATAATATAGTATAGTCTTTGAAGAACAAACGCTGTGAATTAGCCCATATTTTAATTTTGAGCACGGTATCATGTTTTGGGATTATGTGGTGCAACAAACTCACTTAAAAACAATAAAAATTCTACTAGCCAAAAGCAGGCAAAGAAACAAAAATTCCCTGGCTCAAATTTGTTTACTAGAAAAGCCCAGTCAGTGAAGACTTAATAAAATGAAATTTTAACAAGATTAAATATATTGCAACCAAGATGGAACCAAAATGCAAGTCACCTTAAATACAACTCATCTATTTATTTCTTCACAATTATGAAGGCCAACAAATTTTTATCTAGCCAAAAAAACCTCATTTTAAGAAAAACAGACCAAGTTTGTTTGGCACTGGCTTTAATTTCTTAATAAAGAGAGAAAATTATACACCTTTAAAATTCAACTTCATAGTTTACTGAAGTTACCTTCATTTTGTTTGTTTTAGTGTTACTAGACTTACCTGAGTTTATATAATCTCTGAAAATATAATTAATAGGGACCTTGCTCCTAGTTCTGCTTAACTGCTCACCTATCAGAAGTTTCTGATTATCTTGTCTGAAAACTATTCCATGCTCTTTTAAGGACGTAAGAAAAAACTCCTAAGATCCTTTATTTAGTGTTTTTCTTAACTGTTTGTCACATTTTAATTATAAAAGATAAAGAGAAGTACATTTCATTCAAGGTAGCCTCTCACTATTTTCTCAAAGGGCAAGACGGTAGAGAAAAGCTCTATCTAGGACATTTTTTTCCTTTTTCTTTTAAAAATAATTTCCATTGTAATACATATACCAAAACCCAAAACCAAACCTGTTGCCATCGAGTCAATTCTGACTCATAGCAACCCTACAGGACAGAACAGAACTGCCCCATAGAGTTTCTGAGGAGCGGCTGGTGGATTTGAACTGCCGACCTTTTGGTTAGCAGCCAAGCTCTTAACCACTGCACCACCAGGACTATATATTTTTCATAAAGTGAAAAAAGAAGTCTTCTTAAATTCAAAGCACCATGTTTATAAAGTAGAAGTTAAAAAAAAAAAAAGGAATGGTTTTGCTTAAGCATCTCAGAAGTAACTGTATTTAAAAAGGTCGATCCACCTGATTTTTAAACACAGAAAGTAGTATTACAAGTGCATATGGGGAGAACCTACTCTAGCCCTTTAATTTTAAATGCAAAATTTGACAGTAACTCAAGTTTGTGCCAACACTGTAAATAAAAAATGCTAGTCAATACTAGCTACTTGCTACTACTACTAAAAAAAAAAAAAAAAAAGGTGCCATCAAGTCAATTCTAACTCATAGCGACCCTACAGGACAGAGTTGAACTGCCCCATAAGGCTTCCAAGGCTGTAATCTTTACATAAGCAGAATGCTACCTTTTTCTCCCATAGAGCTGCTGGGTGGTTTCAAACAGCCAACGTTTCGTTTAGCAGATGAGTGTTTAACCACTGGGCTACCAGGGTTTCTTTGCATTTATATAAACCCAAAACCACACTCGTTGCCATCAAGTCGATTCCGACTCATAGCAACCCTACAGGGCAGAGTAGAAGTGCCCTATGGGGCTTCCAACAGCAGCTAGTGGATATGAGCTGCCAACCTTTTGGTTAGCAGCTGACCTCTTAACCACTGTGCCACCAGGGTTCCTTGCTTGTATATAGGACTTAATAAGTAACAGCAAAATAAGTGATTGAAAAATATTGTTTCACAAGACAACACCCATAAGGTAGTCATAATACCTTCCCTTTGTGGAAATAAAAATAAAAGCAAAGAGGGCAAGTAACTTGATGATCTTGCATAATGTCAGATATGAATTCAAAATCAGGATTAGCATTCTGAATTTCTGTTTTCAGGACTGTCCATTAAGGCTACACCACCTCTGCTAGTTCAATTTGCCATCTGGAGGGATGGAGGTTGGGGGGTATTGCTCCCTGTTACATGAACAAATACACAGAATTATGATTAATAATGAAAAGTTTAGGCTTCTCTTAAATTAATATCTAAAATTTTTGTAAAACTGCAGAGCAAGACAGTAACTCAAGATTCTTCAAATCTTCAAATCTCAACATTCTTCAAATCTCAACTTATATAAATGGTATGTTCTTAAAAACAATATTAAGTTAGATATTATCGCTATGGAAAATTAAGAGTTACTTTATCTCATTTAACAAAGGATATTTATATTTAAAAATAAATAAACATAAAAAAGGATACTTAAACACAAACTACTCTGAAATATAGTTAAAAGTTCCATTTAGGATTGGTCCTGAGCCTATTCTTTCCTTCCAAATACTAGATATAAATCTCTTCCTTCAGAAATGGTGGTTTGGGAAGCCCCAGGTCCAACCATCCTCCCTCCCTGGAAAGTCTGGACTGACAGGGTCTGTTGAGAAGGAAAAACCACTTGCACCACCGCACCATGGAAATTTAAGTTAAGAACCACCGACCTTCCAGTTAGCAGCCGAGCACTTTAACCACTGCACCACCAGGGATCCTTTAAGTTAGGAAACTCCTCTTTAAAATTCCAAGTACCACCTTAGCAGAATTGAGAATGTCAGCCATTTATTACTTAACGTGACTCACTTCAATTGTTCTTTGAAACACTTAGCTAAGAATGCAAAAGAATTAATATTCTTACTGGGAGCTTTGGAGAAGGAAGCTAGAAAGGCAATTCTGAACTATGCCCAGGCCTGAGAGAAGACTCTGGACATCAAGAGTGCAGCAAAAGGATTCACAGTGCCTCAGCAGCACAGGAGAAGGAAAGAGGGTCCAGGACTAGATGTTGTTCTGTCAAAGACAGTTTTACACACATTATACCTTTGACTTACTATTACTGATCAAATGAGGAATCTTGAGCCAGAGACAATCTTTACAGTGAAACATCAGACATGCATTTAAAGGTTATAATTATGAAGCAGAATACCACAAGGGTTGGAAGAGCCATAAAACTAGTGTAGTTTGAACTCATGCAATTATGGATCAACTGTACATATTACTATTTAATACCATCCTTTTTTAACCACAGATTGATATGGAATGTTATCATAGTTTTATAGGGTTGGCTTATGTCTACTAATACAAAGAAACAATCAGAAGCTCTCTAAAATAACAAAGAAAACCATGGGGAAAGTTGTGGTTCTTCCTGACTTAAAATTACTCAATTACAAAACTAGTTTTTCTAATAAAAACAGAAATCATTGTTTACTATTATTTAAGGTTTCAACACTTACAGACATTAGGCCAAAATTATACGGCTATATTTTGAATGAATGAAACCTAGTTATTAAGGAGCTGTAATAAAACATCTGATGACCATTTTATATAGGTAAGGTGATCTCTTTTGGGAGGTGCAATATCTGCATTAGAAGTAAATGCATCACATCAAAGTTTTACTATAGTCATTAGGCTTTGGAGTATATATTTTAACACAAATATCCAAAGTCCTGTATTACAATAGGGTTTTGCAAACTACATATGATAAAAGAATGTTTCTACACAGGAATGGTTGACTGAATGTAAAATGTCACTAATGTATTAAAAAATATGATATACTTTTACTTAGCATATGTAAAATCTGCACATTGGATTGTCTGCCAATAATACCTTTTCTTGGCAAGTTTAAGAAGTACCTATGTTTCATGTTCCAGAAACTTTAAGTCAGAAAACAGGAGCTGAAGAACAAACATCATTTTAGATATTTTCTTTGGACTGTGTTCCAACAGGATGGGTATCTCCAACATTTCTAATTTCTTATAACATAAGCACTTAAATTCAGGATTCCAAACAAACAAACCCATTGCCATAGAGTAGATTCTGACTCATAGCTACCCTATACTGCCCCATAGGGTTTCCAAGGCTGTCAATTTTTACAGAAGCAGACTGCCACATCTTTCTACCATGTAGCAGCTGGTGGGTTCGAACCACTGACCTTTCCGGTTAGCAGCCTAGCACTTAACCACTGCATCACCAGGGCTCCTAATCCATGATTCAACAAAGGATAAATCAGTTATATTGGGGGCTACTAATGAAAAACGAAGGATGGAAATCTAACTGCTCAAGGCATAATTAGGCTTACGGTAATGCCACATATTAAGCATTCATGATTCTTTTCTATATATAAATTGGAAGTCTTTAAGAGTACACATTCTAAGGGAATCTCAGCAACTGACACTCCTCTTAATAAAATTAGAAAAAAAAATTTTTAATCCTATACCTAATACTACCAACTATGAAAATTATCTTACTGCTAAAATATTCTTGCAAATAAAATAACAATTAAATAACTATAATTTACAGAAGACTAATAACAGAAGAAAAATATTTCTAAATAGGTACAGTTCTTCTTATAATACTGATCAATATGGTGTGTTACAGATTTATACAATTTTAGATACGGACACCTGTGTTGCATAGTCTACACAGTCTTTATATTATCTTGCTCTTTCTGAATCCTGAGGCAGATTCAGAATTATCCACAAAATAATTTTTCACACTGAAACCACAGGAATAGTAGAGTTTTTGGAATAGCATTACCTTTTAATTGCACTACTTTAAGAAACTAGGACACATACCCTAGACATACGTTAAATAAAGTGAGAAGTGTTTGACTTCTTTGTACTTTGAGCTCTTCATAGGAAAAGTATTCTATAAATTCAAGTTGTTATGGTGGGGGAGCGGGACGCAAGAGAAACAAATAACTCTTCAGACCAAAAAAAAAAAATCCTAGTTTTTAAGACAGCTTCTAATGTCCAATATAGAATATAGGATACTGGCATTCAACTGTTCAGATTCATATGGAATTACAGTATTTGGGAGAAGAACAAAGAATTTTTTTTTAAAATACAGGTATATAAATTAATGAAGCTGGTATTTAAAAGATTTAATACAAGGAAAAAGGTATTGTATAGTGGTACCAATTCTTAATACAAATTATTAAGCACAGTTTATATAATTTCAAAAGTTATTCACATTATTGCTCGATACCACAGTTGTATGGAACAAGTTCTTGACATACATTAAAACTTGTATAATTTCAGGCTCATAAAACAAAAAATTTACACATAGCCCACTGAGAAATTTTTAAAGTTTTAAAATGAATGGAGATATGTACAACAAAAAGGAAAAAAAAAATGTGTGTGTGTGTGTGTATTTAACAGAAACAAGCTGACATGATTCAAACACGTCACACTTTCAATCAAGTATATACATAACTGGACAGAAAGCGAACTAGCAGATAAAAAACACAGCACTAAATATGTCCCCCATTTCTTAGTAATAATAGTTCTAAATACCAGTGGGGTATTAAACGCCAGCTTACTTTTAATTCTAGAACTTTTGCTGTCTTTCAAAGATTTTTCAGAAGCATATATCCATTCCACAATTGTATTAGTTTGGGAGAAACATTTTCCTTAGAAATTTTTAAAAGGAATACATCTATACTTTTGTATGTTAGATTTGATAAACAATAAAAAAATAACTCAGGTAAGGCCATTATTAATATCATCTTGATCAAAAACATACACAGATTGTGATGCTAGTAAATTTTGTGATCCTGAGCTCTAATAGCCATTAGATGCATGCATGCACACCATTCACTGACTTGCCTATTCTAGTACGAATAACTTAATCCTTCCTTACTACCTTTGAAGACAAGAAATACTTTCAAACTTTCTGATTGGTCTTTATAATGATTACAGATATATCTGCTGTAAACAGAGCATTAGGAAGTATATGAGAAAGGGTATGTTAGGTTCCTAAAGGCTAATAAGAAAACTTACTATTTAAAAATAATGACCGTGTTAAATTTAAAAAGGAAGTAAAATAATACAAAGAATGTGTTTGTTAGAATAGTAAGCAGAGACTTAGATGCTTTTCTATGTTAAGAAATTTATAAATAAAGGACTCTTGTGTACCTTTGTGATAAAATAAAAAAACGCTGGCCACTTTTTAGGCTAAGTTCAAATGTATTTTTTTGATAATACAAAAAAGTAATCCTTGAGAACCAGAATACATAACAGAAAAGAGCACAATAACTTAAGTATTAAACATCTGTATGAAATAACTGTTGCAAAGTTTGACAAAAATGCACACTTAGAACATGCGGTTATTTAAAAAAAAAAAAACAACAAAACACCACACGGTTCTGTAGAACCAATGTTATGTCACCACCAGGAGAGCACCAAGCAAGGCACCATTGGAAAGACAACATACTTGGAAAGTCTCTATAAATAAAGTAAATGCTAATCTGGTCGAAAAATTGGTGTCTTTGGTAAAAATTCTATGAGGATGACCTGTAGAAAGAGAAAAAAATTTTTAAGAATATTTAAATAGGCTTTTATCTTAACAAAACTTCAAGTATGTTCTATCACTTAAATAATTTTTGAAAATCCACTCACATTTCATAACCACAACTTTGTATTATTAAAATAGACATTTATCTGATAACTCAGATAGCTCCATTATTGAAAATTTTTCTTTTTATTTCTAGATCTTTACCAAATAGGCAAAATACTTCAGCTTTATACTTCATGAAGAGGAAGACAGATAAGTAAGTAAAAATAATCAAAGTTTGGGAAGGTAAATGGAGGTAGATGATACAGATAGTGTCCCTAACACATAGAAGGAGCTTGAATGAACGAATGAATGAGAAAAGGGAGTTAATAACTTACTGTGAACTAACCTCGTGCCAGGTGTTTCATTCTATATGGAACGTATCTAATCCCAACAACTTTTCTATGAGGCATTTCCATTTTACAGATGAGGAAACTGATGATCTGAGAAATTTCAGACCACGGATTGTGAAGTAAAGATTTGAACAAAGGACCGTCTTGACTTCAAAGCCTTGTCCTTTCTAGTGCACTATGTTATGTGGCTGTAGCTGACCCAATATTTACTTCTTCAAGATTCCTCCCTTCTATCTAACCCAATTCCATGGGTCTTCTCTAGGTTTTAGAGTTGTTCTCCCTTTACTGTACCAAGATATGTAATCTCTAGATAAAGGGTATTGGTACTTCCTCTTAATTACTTTTTTTTTTTAAACTCTTTTCCCTCTTAGGTTAGCAAAATTAAACATTAGGAAACTAGGGAAAACCAACAAAAACAAAACACAGTAACACAGAAATACACAAGTTGATCAGGGCTAATTTTGATTCCAAACTCTCTCCCTTGCTCCAACTCTGCATGCAGTAGATACTAAACAAAAATTATTTGATTTGAAAAGCTTCCATGTTTGGTGAACTCCTTGTTCTTTTTCAGAATCTGTGTCTTGATATGACCTCCAGTCTTGGATACTCTTCTACAGTTTGCCCTCTGAGCCAGGAAACCTCATTCTCAACTGTTCAGTTCTCCTGGCTTTTGATTTGCCTTGATGAAGAAAGCATTCCTACACCTGGATCAAAAATAGGCCTCTGCTAGTTTAGTTACCCTACACTAAACTTTAGGTGCCACTTTGCCACTCTCCTGACCTGTTACTTGCCTACAAAATATTTACTTGCTTCACTGTTACTTTCTTCTATCCAGCTTCTTCGCTTAAGCTGGATTTCCCTGTTTCTCAGCTTCCTCATCTATAAAATAAAGGGATTGGACTAGATGACAAGATTCTTTGCAGCTCTAAAATTTGAAGATTAAATATTTAAACTACTTAGAGTCAACCTCAATAAATAATTCTATGTTATAAACATGTCTTGAATCAAGTAGTCCTTACAATTTCAGTCTTTGTGTCTACATTTTTAGAGTATACAACATAACCCAAAATTTAGACAGTCTTTGACTATATTTGAACTACTGCTTTATAAAGAACTTGTTCTATAAACTCTTTCCCTTCAGAAGCCACATACAGAAATTAGTCACTCGCCTGATTTATTCTAAGTCATACTTCTCTACCACAACTGAACAAAGAAAACTTGGTATTAAGTGGGTATTTTTTTTAGATTGTCTTCAATATTCAAAATATAATCAAGGAGTCTGACTTTCCTTTACCAACAAATAAAATACCTAAAAGTTATGGAAAAGTTGAGCTCAAAAGAGGGATATATGTAAAAAGGCCCAAATCTATTAGATAAGGAGGCACTCTCTTCTTAATAGATTTTTTGCTATTCTAATTTTGTTATTAAAGGGAGTTTTTGAAACTATGTTTTCCCCTTTCAATCATCACAAATATACATAATATGAGAAAATCTAAAAAAACATACTTTTTAAAGCAATTTTTAAACAGTCTTTGTTCTTACTACTCTCATGGGTATCTTCTATGATGCTGTGAAAAATAATATAATGGCTTTAGTAGAAGTGTTTATCTAAAAATTCATGGTAAATTACATACAAAGCACGAAGTTCAGAATGTTTTTAAAGATTACTAAATTATTTTTAGTCAATAAAAGAATGTCATAAAAATAAAGAATAAAATTAATATATTTTATGAACAAAAGACATTTATACAGCTATATCTGGAGATAATTCATGGCACTGGGAATAACTTACATTTTCTTTTCTAAAGTAAATTTAGAAATACACACACACACACACACAATAAGGTAAAGCCTCAGTTTAGTGTTTGGGTTTATATGGGTAGCAAATATTTTATCATAAAACCCTTTAAACCTCCTACATATACACTTCTCCGGCCAAAATGCATACATAAACTCTTACTATCCATGATGAAAGTATAAAATTAGCATTTTCATAGGTGAATCTCAAAACAACATACTCAAATGTGCACTTTTTTCATGATTATCAAGTATCATGTATCTTTCTCATCATCATAAATTAATGTGTTTGATATAATAGATAATGATACGAAAAATCTACATTATTTAGTTCACTGAATAGATCTTTTCCATGCAAAAAAGGCATTTTTAAAAGGTATTTTATGTTCAAGTCTAGACATGGGATTTGACTTATGATAATGAAAGAAAGGGGAAATGTTAACAGAGAAAAATGATTTTATGATAATTTTCAACTATTTAAACCTTGTTTTAATCAATCTTTTTTTTTTTTTTGAATATATACTATCAATGATGGCTACATTGTTTCAAGGAATACACAAAATTTGTTAGAAATGTTATGCCAGGTACTTCACAAAGGCTATGACTTTAATTTTCAACAATTAACCCTGTCTTAGATCTTTTTCTTAATGTAATAACATTTCCATATTTAAAATAAAACACTCAAACTCAAGGGAGAATAAATAAAAAATCATAATTTTCTATAGTATCCTGAACTTTTCAAAAGGACAAAAATTGTTCAAGTAAAATCAGTGAGTCAACTGGGTAAATTAAATCCTACACTGAATAGTTCCAAAATCCACTGTACACAAATGCCAAATTAGAGATCTTTTAAAGAGTATAAACACAATGAGCAAGACCTCATCTCCTACTTACTTTAAAGATAACTTTTACAAAACAATATTCTAATAAGACTTTGAAAGATTCTTTAAAGGCCACTGAGGTATGGGCAGTTAAAATCTATAAGGGCTAAAGGTTTCTTAAGCTCCAACAGTTTGGCTGAAAGGTTTTCTTCCATACTTGGAAACTTGATTAGCATTATATAAAAAAGCCATATCTGACTTGCTGCGTAACCAAAGTTGTGGTTATTCTTTATATAGCATCTAAAATTTCACACTCCATCAACACATGTTCAGGCTATTTTATCTTGGCAATTAATTTATTATTTTTCAGAGCACAGTGAAGCCTTGTTTTCAAGTTATTCATAACTTTATAAATCAGTCTTGCACATGAAACCATGCATCTGTGAACCGTAGAAAATCCTTGCACTCAGGAGATTAAGCTCCTGACACCTTTGCTGATTAATAATCATGGAAAGAATAAGATCAGAAGCAAAATAAATGATCATTTAATAGAGAAACTCACAAAACAGCCCTTTAACTTACATATTCCATCATGTTATTCGTTTCACATTTCCTTTTGCTCAGTCTCCAGTGCAAGCACAGCTAGACAAGTAGGAGAGTAAAAGAAGAAAAATGAGCTCTATTTTATTGCAGCACACAGACTTACCCATTTGTCCACCTTTCATATTTTTAGTTCAACAAAAGCATCTGTTTCCATACTGTGCAATTCAGACCCCAACAGTACGAAGCTGCTCCCTGTGGTACTCACCTTGTGGTATAACCTATTGTTTTCCCATTCTAATAACTTCTCAATCGATCTTCGTGTCTAGAAGACAAATGAGAAAAAAGTTTACTCTTCACTGGTTTTAGAAAAAACTTTGTTTTGCAGCTGCTTTTTGTGTGAAAAGGGGAGAGATACAAGACAGTGACTGAGTACAGGGTGGTCTGCAACACTGTCAATGTTTTAACATTAAATAGTAACCTGAACAGAAATAGTACTCTTTTTTTAAAAGATACAGTTTTGTTTTTTAGTATGTGTATCATTTTTTAACTGTTTCAAATGCACTAACCTCTGATTTAAAATGATCAAAAAAAAAGTCTAAAACACAAATGTTATCTACCAAATGATATAAATTTATATCCCTACTTCTTTCAAAACTAATTTTGCAATACTTGACTAGTATTACATATTTTAAGATAAAGGTTATTTAAATATTAGTTAACAAAATGTAAATGGCTTTTAGGGTAGATTAAAAAATAATTAAAAGTTAATAAATAAACAACCCAATTTATAACTAATTTTCGCATCATACTTAAAAATAATATACAAATTTAAAAGATAGTTTATGATACCACAGATGGATTTTTCAGATAGAGCCAAATTTTAATTTAAACCAACATAAAAGTGACATTAGAGAAAAAAATCAAACTCTTTATTCCATACTGCTGTTTCAGGAAACAACTGGAAAATTTATCATTTATGACCACTTGACTGTTCAATACCTGCAATACATACTATGTAGCATGAAATGTTTCTTACTTGGGAGTATGAATAAAGGAGAGGGTAATTCATGGTGCCAGGTGTTAGGATGAGACTGACACAGCTGCAGGTGCAAAAAGGACAGTGTTGCCACAAGGATCACTGCAACTTAGTGCAGCTGCAGCTTCTTTGCAAAGGAAGGAAAAAAGCATCTAGTGCTATTAATGCAACACAACTGTAAACAAATACTAATAATCAGATATGAAAATATGCACGTCACGTATGGATGACCTAGGTGAAAGTATACATTGTTAGGATCAAGGTGGATTTGAATAGTTTAATGTTATATAATAAAATATTAATATTTAAAGTATCTACCGTGTAATCTAGTTAACATATTACCTTTTCATGTTAAACATGCTAAAGACACATCACAGTCATATAGGTGGCTCATTATAATTCACAATTACCAATGAATTACCATTACTGCCTTACATTCCCCAAGCTTATGTCATAAAAATCAGAAAATCAACTAACTTTCTGGGTAATAATTCATCAATGATTAATTTATTACATTACATTTTTGAACAGAGTCTTTCTGGCAAGAATTTTGGAAAAAAAAAAATAGTGCCCTTGTTAACAATGATCAGCAGACCTCACTTGTTTCTTTGTAAAGATAGCCTTTTAGAGGCAGCTCTCCTTTTAAATGAAAATAGGGCAGCAGTTATGGTCACACTTTTTGTTAATTTAGTTGCCAGTCAGCCCCAAATCAAAAGAAAATAAGGCTGCAGAGTGTAATTAACATTCAGTTCAGTCGTTTTGTCCCTTGTCTAGCCCCCAAGCTTTGTTAAAATTGCCATCTGAATGCTGAAGGCTGTAGAGAAATCGATTTGATTCTAATCGCACCATGAAAAGAACATGATCTAACTGCTTTCAGCCCTCCGTAAATCTGTACTAGGTCTTTAGCACAATGCAACTTTCAATTTAAAAAGCACTGAATGTCTAGTCAATGACTTTGTGAAGAAAAAAGAACAAGGAGCAGACATAAAAATTCCAATAGTTGTTTAAGCATTAAGGTTCATTTGCATCACAGCGAACCTGAAAAGGGCTGACCTCTCAAACCGCCTCTCAGGTCTATGAAGTTGTAGCCTTGACAAGCTCACATTGACAGAGCTCATTGACTCTGAAAGGCTACTCTATCAATGGTGAAAAATGGCAATAGGTTCTACTCTGAGCAGGCATCTGCCTGCCCACCCGCTGCTAAACCAATGGCAAACCCGATTCAAAACCTGAATCTACCTTGTAATCTTCCTTTCTAGGACCTTTTAATAATAGATTAAGATTACTATACAATTTAAGGGTTTTACTCTTACTGATGGTTCATAAAAAGAGGAGCAGGGGAAGCAATGAAAAAACTATGGTGGGGAGAAGCCACTTTCCAAGTCTGTTGTTTTATAAGAAGTACAAAAATAGTACCGAAAAGTGCAACATTATATACTGCAAATATTTTTTGCTCAAAGAAAAAAATAATCACCATAATCATTTCATGGCAAATTTAAATTCATGCTATATTATAACGAGAATGGATCTCATTATGATATATGTAATCAATTAAAAATTTTTAAATATTTACTTTAACTTAAATCAACTATCAAGTATTTGATGAAAAGAGAATTACAAAGTACAAACTGTAAATTCTAAAATATTTACGTAGGAATTCTGAACTTATGCTTTGCCTCTAATTAAGAGTTTAATGATAGGGTTTAGTATAATAACTGCATTTGCAATATTTCAGAATTTGAAACTAAACCAACCCTGGGCTGCCAAATTCTGAATAAACACCTAAATATAAAATATTTCTGCACACTTGACAGCCTGGAGTAAAAGCTGTGAATTAGACAGTACCATCTAATCTTGCTATAAGACTTCTTTCCTGCTTGACAGGTGAAGAAAAAAAAAAAGCACTTGCACGTGCAGCTTAATTAATCATTGCACTTGACATCTCAGTGATTTACAGTGAGGAGCAGGTGAGAACATACAAAACCAGAAAGGAACCCTTGATTTGAGTGGAACATTTCTAGCACACTAAGGTGACAAGTATATAGATTCTAGCAGTCATTAAAAAAAAAAAAAAGGAAGAAAAGAAACGGTGCCACAAATTATTTGTCAGTAACAACAAAAGCTCAAATTAAATGGGGGAGGGGGGAAAGCTTTAATTACTGAGAATGTTTAATACTCTGCAATTACTTTTAGTTAAAATCAAAATATAGTTTCAAGATTAAATACAATACCAATTTGGCAGACACTGAAACAGTATATGACACTTCAGCATTTATAACAGCTATTTAAAAGCCTTTAAACATGAAAAGCACATTGTAAATGCAGTCATCTAGAAATAAAAGTTAAAATTTTATGTCCACAGGGCCCTCAGATAGCTATTTCCAACAAAACGTAAGTTCAACACTGCCAAACTCTGTAGTTACTGCTGGACAAGCAACCTAGCCATATAAAAATCTGTACTTGATTTTTAAATGTTTATATCGACCCCCAAATCTTCCAAAAATGTTAAAGAAAATTCATATGCATCAGAAAAAACATGTATAGGATCTATCAACATAAAATGCCAATATAACATCTCCTTCAGTATTCTAGGCCAGTGAATTTCTAAAAATAAGTCATCTTAATTTTCTTAAAATAATTTACTGCTTGTGAAAAGCACAAGACTGATAGTCATGGGAACTAAAATCTTCTATTTAGCTGAAAGAACAGGGGAAAGGGCAGTGCAGACTTTAGTCCAAGCCTTCCTACAGTGGGCCTTAATCCTTTTCACTATTTGCACCCTGGGGGTAAGAGGATAGGTTAGTGGTTTTTTACCAATGAATCCTCACAGTCCTTCTGCTTAAGATAACCAACAAGAAATCTAATTTTATCAGGGATTCTTATCCTTAATTAAAAGGACCAAGACCATTAACTCACATCATGTATGCAAAACAACTCTTCTGTAATAATAAGGGTATGTCACTTATCTGGTCTGGAACAGGAACAGCTCCAGGCATCTGGGCTCCCACTCATCTCCATCATCCCAGAGCAGACTTTAAATTACCTTTTCTTTGAACATGTTTCTTCATTTCAACATCTTGGTAGTTATAGTTTTCTCACTGGTGAACTAATGCTAATATAGCCATTCAGCTATGTTAAAGTAAAATAACCAAGATTCAAAACCAATTTCGGTTACTAACCTGACTTATTTACTAAGTAAATTTTTAAACTGAGCAACAATAGTGACATAACAATAGATACTTAGAAATTTTAGCTTCTATTTCTAGTGGCTCTGGTCCCTTTTAATTTTTGACAGAATTGTGGAAATAAGTCAAAACATGAAAACTACAAAAGAAGTAAAAGGACCTGGATAATTCACTAAATGGCTAATTACATATGATTAATCAATTATTTGCTGTCGTTGTTAGGTGCCGTCGAGTCCGTTCCAACTCATAGTGACTCTATGTACAACAGAATGAAACACTGTCCAGTCCTGCACCATCCTCACAATCATTATGCTTAAGCCCACTGTTGCAGCCACTGTGTCAATCCATCTCATTGGGGGTCTTCCTCTTTTTTGCTGACCCTCTACCAAGCATCATGTCCTTCTCCAGGGACTGGTCCCGATGAGCCAAAGTCATGCCATTCTTCTAAGGGGCATTCTGATGGTACTTCTTCCAAGATAGATTTGATCATTCTTCTGGCAGTATGTGGTATATTCAGTATTCTTTATCAACACCATAATTCAAAGGCATCAATTCTTCCGTCTTCTGTATTCATTGTCAGGCTTTTGCACGCATACAAGGCAGTTGAAAATACCATGGCTTGGGTCAGGCACACACCTTAATCTTCAAAGTGACATCTTTGCTTTTTAACACTTTAAAGAGGTTTTTACAGCAGAATTTGCCCAATGCAATACATCATTTAATTTCTTGACTGCTGCTTCCATGGGTGTTGATTGTGTATACAAGTAAAATGAAATTCTTGTCAACTTCAATCTTTTCTCCCTTTATCATGATGTTGCTTATTGGTCTAGTTGTGAGGATTTTTGTTTTCTTTATGTTGAGGTGTAATTCATACTGAAGGCTGTAGTCTTTAATCTTTACTGGTAAGTGCTTCAAGTCCTGTTTGCTTTCATATATAATTTTTTGTCTATAATATAAAATTATATATATATATAATTTTACATACACTATAATATGTATAAAAGAGAATGACTTGAGAATAGCAGGTGTCCAATAAATATTAGCCTTTTCTTCATTTTACTCTTTTCCTATCTAGGAAGGGGGGAAATCAGGCACTCCCTG